ATAATAAATACACACTCAATATTACAAAAGAGATAAATGGAGCAAGTTGAGCAGAAAGGATAAAACCTTTGTATTACACTAAAGCCACAGTTATTTAATTTTTCCACAGCTTTACAGCAGCTGGGTGAAAAAAAAACAATTATTGTGGTCATAATCAGTTGCGTGTGTCTTACAAAACAATTAATCTGGGAGTGGTGAGTTTAGAGTTACACAGAAATAGGTAGGGCACATACTCCAAAACACGTCAGCTCAGATTAATTGTGCTAGAGTATGACAACTAAAACAGTCATTTATAGCCTCCTTATCAAGAGACAGATATAAAACAATTCAGATTTCAGTAGATACATTAAAACTCTGTAAATAAAAAGATTTAAACAGCTCCCAGAGGCTATCATTAAAGAAGAGCCCTGTGCTGAGCAGAGTAATGTGGGAAAATGCAATGACTTTGAAAACTAAATGGGAAGGAATACCTTTGAGAGCAAATCATTTACTTTTCAGCAAACATGACTGTATCAAAATACACTAACCAAAGAGCAAAAACAATAATGAAATACACCTTTCAGAAAACAAAAAAAAAATCAAAAGAAAAACAAAGAATCAAAAAAGAGGTCAGTAACTGCACTGAGCTGAAAGACAATATTTCCATTTGCCAGAAGTGCACAACATTTAAAGATGTACTGTTGAATGCTAGCACAAAATGTGTAATTATTAAAATAAACAGCACAAACAAGTTGGCCCACGCTAAATGTTCAAATATATTATGCTCAGCCCTGCTGTTCCCCACATCGTCTCCTTAAAGAAGGTTCAAAACCTGAGCTTTTTAGTTGTTGACAACAAATGTGCTGCTCTGCAGTGGTTTGAAGTCATATTGCTCTGCAGGTTATCTTCTTTCATTATTTATTTGGAACCTGACTAAGGAAATTCTCAGGAATGATAATTCGAACAGTAAAGATCAAAAATGGATTTAATAACAGGAGTTAATTGTCCCCACAAGAAATCCTGTCAGTCACCTGGAACTGTCACACTTCATGGATCTTACAAGGAGAACGACTATAAACATGATCTGTGGTTGATATGCTTCAGAAAATCTTACCAGCTTTGAGGGAAAACATGTTCCATCAGAGCCCATTTGAGATCTAAGGAATTTTCATTATGCAAATAAAAACTCTTTTGACAGCTGCTAAGAAAAAAAGAAAAAAAGGACTGCTCCTTTTGTTTATTTAGGAGTAAATGCCAACTTCTGCCAAGATCAATATTTATCAGCCCAGTTAAACAACTCTGACTTGTAATTAGTCTCAAACCTTGCAGGAGGCAAAGACCAAAAGAGAGGGATGTGTGATTATTATCAAAAATACAGCAGTAGTAGCAAATTATGTAACTATAAATTTCAAAACAACACTCAATATTTCTCTCAAGTAGAAGATAATTTGAAAAAAACATTTGGTCTAATGGTTGATATGGACGAACCAAGCTTATTAAGGAATTAACCTTTCCTAATATGTTGGATTCATTATTTTTAGTTTTCCACAATAGCTACGTTTCCATCAATGTTTTTCTTATGAGCGTTTTTAAATAACGCATTAGAAAATGTTTATGAAAATGGCAAAATTTGTAAGAACTTCCTCAATTTTGCAATAAAGTTATGCTCGCTTGAGATATTTTTTTTTTTTACTTTTCCAGAAAAAGAACTTGTGGTAAATGAGAGATTTTGTCAGTATTCTCTGATGTAGCCAACATTTACCTCACAGACTGGTCAGCTGTTTGTACTGTCAGTATCATTAGAATTGTATTTCTTTGTCTACATCATCTGCATGATAACAACATATTCCTTAAAGCCTCACTCCATTTTTAGAAGATGAGTGAATTGGAGCATTTCATGAGCGCTGTTAATTTCATCATATGAGAAGCAAGTGCAATCCTACGTCTTGGCCAAACAGCTACAGTGCCTGACCAGGTAACAACAGCATTAATCAAAAGGCAGTCAAAGGTAAATTTGATAAATTTAGTAAAGTTGTACAGATTCAAAGCTCATGTAGGATCTTCTGACATACAAAATAATGAGCTCTACAAATATGGCTCTTATGGAAGAGTGGCAAAAAGAAAGTCACTGAAACTCTCTTTGCAGTTCGCCAATAGAAGAACTGCAAAAAGCAGTGACAGAATGACGCTGTGCTTTTATTCCTCAAATCAGTCAAACTGGTCAGAGATGATGAGAAGATGGATGGTTCTAAATACAACGGAGTCCTAAAAGAAAATATGTGGGTTGATGGTGCCTCTTCCAGCAGGACAACAACCCAAAACATATTGCGAAATTGCAGTCTTGACAGTCTGGTTTTAATAAACTTTAATTTCACAATGCTAAAAATTCTTGAAGGGTGTGGTACAAAGCACAGCTATTGTTATCTGGAAAAGATGACAATTACTGTTGTTAATTCAATAACAGTTATTGAAGTAATTAATTCAAAAGAAATAATTACTTTGAAAGAAATAATGATTATGTTAGTTACATTTCGAAGAGCCACAAGATTTTGCATTTTCCAACCAGAGATCAAACCGAAAATAAAATCAGACAAGATACTGCCTTTCATTTAGCTCAAAGCTAATGCTGAAAATTACTAATTTTGGTCTTGTCTATAGATGTATAGAAAATTATATGGAAGAAACAAAAACTTATGTTTCTATGCACAGATTTAGAGTAAAACTTTCAGTTCATGTGACATCAAATAGAGCTACCACCTCTTTTTGCCTACAGGTGATTTAGGCAAAATTATTATTTTTGGCAAAAAATGACCACATTATTCCATTATTTTAGGAATGTGACAACATATTATTTAAATATTTGTTGAAACTGTCACTATGTTGTTGCAGTATAGTATGTGACAGACAGTCTGTGAGATGGTCAAGCACCTCCACCTCCTCCTAGTGCTCCTATTGCCATATGTAGAAATACAATGTTCGGACCAAAACAACCAATCAGAGCCAAAAGGAAAGTCTTAGTGCTGCTAATCACTCTCATGAATGTGCTGCTCAACCCCTCCCCTTTGCTCTCTGGCTGCTTCTGCTAGTTTCCCCACAACAGAGCTTTTCTTAATAAACTGTTTGTGCCACATTAGCACATTGAGCAGCACATACCCAAGGTTGATTGACAGAGCTAAGACCTTCCTCCTGACTCTGATTGGTTGTTTCTGACCAGGAGCTGTGCATTCTCACAGATTATTTGTTTCATTTTATACTGTTTCATCATAGATGTAGATTTAACAAATATGTAAAAAAAAAAACACACGCAACATATTTTTCATAAAAGTTACATACTGTAGCATTAAATATTGGGATAAGAACGCATACTTGAGAACAGAAGTACTCCTCCACAATAGCTTCATTAATAGCTGGAGCCTGAGGCAAAACACCACTAAATGTAAAAGTTATACAGTTTTTCACTGTAAGATGTTTTTTTTTTAACATTTACATCAGATCCTTTTAGATAAATAATTCTTTGATCCATAGATTCTTCAAGCACTAGTGGAACAAGTGTTTCTGCAGTGCCAGCCAGAATTGAGAGATTAATTATATCTACTCTTATTGTATCAGATCTGAATGGCTGTTACAATTCAGTCAACAGCTCAGTTAGCCACTTGTTTACACAAAGCAGCTGCATGTCATAATTAATCGCCTCATGTCAGTCTGCAGTGGCCCCCGGTGAGTGAACTGGCATACACAGGAACACTAAATCTCTTTCTGTATAGATGGAGAAAAGGACTACCTCCTTTACTCAAGTTGGAAAAATAAAAAGACAAACACAAAGACTACGGTGTGGCATCAGTTGTTTTAAAAGAGCAGAAATACATTTTGCAAATGTTAATGTGCCTGCAAATAAGATTTTGAAGTTTTGCAAAGAGAGAACTGTTGTTATCCACCAAAATGGAAAGTTATAAATTCATCTACGAAAGGTTTGTGCTCCAACATGCAGACAAATTAGGAACAAATGCAGGAAATTCAGCTCCATTGTTAGCCCCAGGAAGTGCTCAACTAACAAAGATCAGTCCTGGTGTGGCAGTAGGGAGGTTCAACAGGACTCCATGGTAACTTCAAAATAAAAAGCAATCCTTTATACATTGTTTACAACTGACTTTTCAAGGTCCACAATAAGGAAGACTTGGAGAAAGCCAGTGTGCTTATTTTTAGTGAACTTTAGTTTTCTTTTTCTGCCATTCTGTTGGACTCAGTGTGTTTTTACATGTCCCAATTTAGGCAAGCGTCAGCTGTCAAAAGATAGTCTCACATTCGACTCTAAAAAGAATTGTTGTTGCCAGTCCAGGCAACAACAACGGTATATTTAATAGTATGACATATATTTCTACTGTGGTACAAAGCAGATACTTAAATCAGTCAGATGATGGTGCCAAACTGATGTAAGAGAGGATGAGCAAAAGACTGGGGAGGTCTGAATTTTCTGATCTCTTGAAGTTCTACTGATTAATTGATGAGCACCAACTTTTGCTTCTAGTCATTGTTGATGTCTCTCCATACTGACATTGTGTTGACCCACAACTGTATGGCTCAAACCAGTAAACTGGTGGCTGCTCTTCCTATGGAAGCTGCAAAAGGGAAGTTTCTCAGCACTTTTCTTTCTTTTTTTTTAAACCCTACCTCGGCTTTATTTTATCTATTAATACGCGAGAGTGCGGAATGAGATAATAAATTAATTTAGTTAGGCGTTGCGGTAAAATGGCCCGAAAAATTCATTCTACTGAGGAATTCCTTATTTTGTATTAATCGCACGTCATTACAGGAGACATTCAAAAGGAGATAAAGTAGATATGTCTCACACCTTTTTTAATGTTTCCTGAACTGTAATGTGGAATGACAGCCGTTACCTGACTGGGAATTAACGTGAATGCCACGCCGCGCCGCGCCCACGCGGTCACACCTGGAATGGTAGCATCTTTCCTCCTACCTGTCGGCCACTCCCACGCGAGGAGGCTTATAAAATCCATCGTCCTCGCTGCCTCAGCACCGGTTCCTCCACACCGCCTCAGAGACGCACTACAGACCCGTAGAAACATCACCACCAGCAGCCGCCATGACCTCCGCGCGCTCACAATTGTCCTCCTCCATGTCACTTTACTCCATGAGCTCCTCCAAGAGAGTCTCGCGCGGCACCAGCGTGTACGGCGGCGCCGGAGGCAGGAACGTCCGCGTGTCGTACGCTTCCAAAGGTCTGGGCTCTGGCTTCGACCTGACGCAGGCGCTCGTGAGCGGCGACAACTTCAGCGTCACCACCAACGAGAAGGCGACGATGCAGAACCTGAACGACCGACTGGCCGCCTACCTGGAGAAGGTGCGCTCGCTGGAGTCCGCCAACCTTCAGCTGGAGACTCAGATCCGTGAATGGTACCAAAAAAAGACCCCAACCACCAGGGACTACAGCAAGTACGAGGCAATCATCGAGGACCTGCGCAACAAGGTAAACTTTGAAACTCATAAACCTGACTCCTGGTAGCATGACACATAACATCTATGTTGCTGAATAAAAGCATTCCCACAGCATCATTCTGTCTCTGCTGTGTAGTGACAGGAAAGACGTTGTGATTGATCACATTTTGTATTTCAGAATGTTGGAAGTTTTATTACACATAAGAATACTACTACTATGATTAATAATAATAATAATAATAATAATAATAATAATAATAATAATAATAATAATAATAATAATAATAATAATAATAATAATAATAATAATAATAATAATAATAATAATAGTGAGGAATATTGATGCCCAAAATTCCTGTTCGTAGAAAAATATTTAAAAACATTTAGGCATGGCCACATTTGAAATATTCCCCCTCTCCCTGGGAGAAAGTCAGTTTTGGGTCTACACACGCATTTTGTTTTGTTTTGTAAATGCAGATTACAAAAAAGTCATAAGCACCCATTATCGTCTATGTTTTTAGGCCTAATCCACATAAAAACTACAAAAAACTTATCTTAAGTGGTTTTCATAAACACTTCATTGAATTCCTTCATCCCGATGTTATAGTAATTATGTCATGCATGTCCCTGCATGAGGAAGTGGTTGTGTTTTATTGCTATAAAACAAAAGTATAACTAAAGGAGGCGTGGAGCATGGGCTTAAAGCTTGCTGTTATGTACAAGGATAGAGGTGAAGTACGAGGTTGGGCTATTGTTTTGAAACAAAACCCTGTGAATTAAAAGCTCAGAGTGACTTAGCCAGCAATTCTTTATTTGTACTTTATTTGTGTTTATTATTTATTCTTAATTCTTGAATATTTCTCCATAAAATAAATAATGAAGCCTAAAAATATTGGTGCCTCAATGCCTATTATTCGAGCGGTCATAATCTCTTTTGTACCCCCTTTCGTGATGCTCTGGTAGGCTATTCTAAAATATTAGTTTTTAGATTTTTCTACTAACATTTAGCTTTCTTGGGAATCTTTCTTCTTTAAGTTTCATGCACCCGGGTTGGGTAACATCCTGCATGATGACACATACAAGTTTATCAACAGCATCTCCCAGCAAAATCAAGAACAACTTGAATTTATTTACATGTTGAAGCAACTTTGAAGGAATTTGTTTCTCACATACTCTTTTGAGAATAAACACAAGCCCAATTTAGGATACACTCCAGTGAAAATTCAAAGTAAACTTATCCACCAGTCTGATCAACAGATGAAGCAATCGCTAACACGTCTGCATGATGGGGTTTTTCCAGATAAGAGTTGCCACGCTATCAAATTGCGAGTTGATGCTGCAGATCGATAATACCAAGCTGGCAGCAGAGGACTTCAAAGTGAAGTAAGTGAAAATAATTTATTTAGAGATTTAGAGATTTACTAACGACATTGAGCTTTCACACGGTTGAGTCAAATCAACCGGACATTTTTGCAGACTTGTAGCAGTCAGCAAAGTAGGAAAACAGGTGGAACCAGTTTGGTTGCACATATTTGTTTGTTTATTGATGCTGTTAAGCTGTAAACCCCTCTCTTCACAGGTTTGATAATGAGTTGGCAATGCGCACGTCAGTGGAAACAGACATCTCTGGGCTGCGCCGAGTCTTGGACGAATTGACCATGACTCGGGCTGACTTGGAGATGCAGGTGGAGGGTTTGAAGGAAGAGCTAATCTTTATGAAGAAGAACCATAAAGAGGTGAGATACTGGCAACAGATCTGTAATGATCAATGGTTCAGCTTAGCTAACAGGCGAGGGAAACAAAGAAATTCTCACAGAGCATTCTTGACTTAAGCACAATGGCATTGTTGATATTTAAACAAAATAAAACTAAATTGATGTAATATCTTTCATTTAAACCTCAAAAACATAAAGAATGTCTTTTATTGCTAAAATAAAGCCACATACAGCGCTTTGATATTTTTTTTTTTCCATTTTGATAGGTAGACCTTGACCAAATCTTAGAATAAACAGCCACTAAATTTAGAAGGAGGTTTCAAGTGTACATTGTGAAATGGCTTAATTACCTCCTTCTTGTGTAGATAAGTTCTCCAGAGACTGGCTATTGACCTAATTATTATATTCAGGTGTGATGCAGCAGAGACATGTTTAACAGTTGCAGGGCAGTGGCCCTCCAGGACTGGAGTTTGACACCTGTCTTCTAGAGTAACACCAGAACAGCAAACCGGTTTTTGTTGATTAAATAGTGGCTATCTATTCTGCTATCCTGCAGTCAGTTGCTTTACAGACAAGCTGTTGGTTGCTCAAACCTTAAAGACATTATTATTTTAATAAGAGTCATTAGTGATGTTTCTTTTGTTTCCACCCCACTAATGTTTAATGTTTCATGATAAAATATTATGTCTTTATTGTAAGTGGGAAAGATGACCATGAGAGTCTTTCAGCCAGCTGACTATCAGTGCAGAGCAACAGGAGGTGCAGAAGGAAATATTGTGTTACTTTATGGTTTATAGAACATACAATTCATAGAGACACTTTACCTGGCTTTATCTATTTTAATCCAATAGTCCCATGGAGTAGAGGTTTATGAGACCTCTGCCTATTCATCAAAATTGTTTTCATCAGAAACCTGGTATATGGGATCCTATACTTGCCTAAAATGGGTTCATGCAAAGTCCTTGTTGACTGAAAACATAAGAAAATGTTTTGGAATCTACTAAGTCATGCAACAAAACAATAACATCTAATACCTGAAATAATATTTTCAATGATATAATAAAACACATATTTTTGCTGTTGATAAAATGTTATGTCAGCTATAGATTGTTAATCTGAATAGGCATGAAATTAGACATAAATTAGGCATAACTCAGACTGCTCTGTTTTCATATAAAATGTATGTTATGTGTGAAATATATTTAAACTAGCCTTTGTGAGTTACAAACACCAACTCAGATTTGAGACTTACAGTAGTCTGAGGTGAATTTGTTGTACAGTGTTTTATCATAATTCCAGCTCACAGTATTAAATATTAGTTATGATACATAAGGTGTCCAGATATGTTATAGGACAGAGCATCCGTCATTTTTTAGACAGATTCCTGCTTGTTTTGTTTGGGAAATACAATAAATAAGTGATAATTGATGACTATTATATCAATATGATTCAATATGTATGGGAAATTAAGATATTAAAATGCATCTGGCACATACATCAGATAATCCAGAACTATGAGATTATTTCTCATACTACAGTGGAAAGATTTAAACAATAGGACTGTAATGATTTTTGAGAGCATTACTTTGAAAAAAACTGTATCACTTGCTACTTTTAACTGACCCATTTCTCATAAATACAAATATGCCCCCCAGGCTACCAGCAATGCATTCAGGCAAATGTACAAGAAGAAAATTCAACTTAAAACACTGAAATTAGAAACAGAGTATTAAGGCACACATCAGTTGATTGTCATAGAGGTTTTAGGCAAAAAAGAAAGAAAAATATTGACTCAAACAATTTCCCATGAAACAATTATAGATCTCCAAGCAAATGTAGTTATTTTCTTTTACAAACAAAACTTGTCGAGACTGACTGCTGAGCCAAAATTGAAGCACCTTTGAAAATCCGCCAACCCTGAGGCGACCCAAGCAAGATCGTCCAATAACAGCAAGCCTCACATTACTCATGCTAACAAGTCCTTTTTAAACACCAGTCATCATTGAAGAAACAAAGAAGATCCAGTGAATGTCACCTCATCATTCACAATGTTTAGAAATTATTTTAATTTTTTTTAATCTACTACATTAGGACCTCCCCAGAACTCGCTTCTCTATGGGATGCTGTTCTTTGTCTTTAATTGTGTTGTCTTTTTTTTAGGAAATGGAAGGCCTGCGCTGTAGCATGCAGTCCAGCTCTGTGAACGTTGAGGTTGATGCCAAACCCCAGGAGGACCTGTCCAGGGTCATGGAAGAGATGCGATCTCAGTATGAGAATGTTGTGGAGAAGAACCGCCGTGAGATGGAAGTCTGGTACAAGGAAAAGGTGAGGAAAATCGGACACAGCACGACTAGCTTTGTATTCATTTCATGTTAAGAGAAGGTTTGGTGAGTATTTAGAGTTATTTTATGTCAATCTTGATATCTTTCAGTTTGACGAACTGAGCAAGAAGATGGCAACCAGCACAGAGACTATAGAGGTCTCCCGAAGTGAGATCAATGACCTGAAGAGGAGGCTTCAGGCTCTGCAGATAGAGCTACAGTCTGAGCTTTCCCTGGTAATCCACAACACTAGGAGAAGTAACATGAACAATCCAATCATAAGTCATTTAACATGTCTGTCGCCATTTGTAATAATAAAGGCATTATAAGCAATGTCCGAAAACAAGCAGTTAGCCCTCAGTAAGCACTAAAATAACTAGCTTCTTTTTCTGAGCAGAAATGTAGCTTGGAGGGTGAGCTGACTGAAACAGAGTCCCGCTACAGCTTTAAGCTGCGCAGCCTTCAAGAAATGGTGGACCACCTGCAGGCTGAGATCAGCAATATGAAGACGGACATTGAGCGACAGGCCTCAGAATACCGGCTCCTGCTGGACATTAAAACCAGACTGGAGCTGGAGATAGCAGAGTACCGCAGACTGCTGGATGGGGAGGATGTGAAGTAAGGAAAAATATATCAAAGGGAGTTGAAATTTTTGAAACGGTCTGTAGCATAAGACACAGGTTTAAGCTGCATGCTCACATAGTGGTGTAAAGGATTATATTTGATTAACATGACTCCTGAGTGAAAATAACTGAGCACTCACTGTTCTTTACCATATATTGACATGATGTTTGTTTCAGACTGTATAAACAAAAAAACTAACTGTTGTCTTTCTTCCAGGAAAAATATAGTTGTGGAAGTGAAAGAAGTGAAAGAAGTTAAAAAAGAAGTAATAGAAGAACGTAAGTTTACTGCAATGTATATTTACATCACCTGCAATGTCAAGCTTAGCTTTTCCAGTGATGTATGTATGTATGTATAGGACTCCTAAATATTTACTATTTGACAAATAGCAAATTGGATTGAGTGTATTTTTTATTTACTTATTTTTTCCATCTCCCAAAATCGGATTATTTTTTTTTTACATATATTTTCACCATATTTGGTTACACTGATACTTAATCTGACATAATGTTTTAAGCTGCATAACTTGTATTGGGACTAAAGTGAGGTGAGATGGAGATTAGCGCTTTGTGATGATCTCTCCAACATTGTTTTGCTGTCTGAATTCTTAAGATATTGCAATAATTAACTGCAAAAGAATTTAATTTTCCAGCAAATGAAATGTTTCACATTGTTTTAATCAGGAGCTTCACACATCTTTGCATAAATGCAACACATCTTGGTTATTCAGATTCATTGTCCAGTAGCGAGGAAACGCATTTACCTATGTTGCAGTTTAGTAATTTCGTAGCTGTATGACAGATATTGCAAGTGATATATGTTATCATTCACGCAACGGAAAAGTAATAGTTTTTCATTATGAATGTCTTCCACAGATAAACCAGTCATTACCAAGAGGACGAAAGTGGTGATTGAAGAGCTTGTGGACGGAAAAGTGGTGTCACGTACAGAAGACGTAGACACCGCAGTCATCAGCCAATAACTGAGCCAAAAAACAATCAAGAACCAGTGTATTTTGTATTTAGGTCTCTGAAAAACACTGAAAGTACATATATTTACCTTCCAGATCTTTGCGTAGCTTACATGTTTCGATTTTTTTACAAGCAGTAAAACTAGAAGCTACATCAGAAAAACAAATCCTATTCTAGGTATAGCATGAAGTCAATTTTATAATGTTTAAAAACAAACAAGTGCAATACAGCAAATCCAGTTTTGGTTAGATCTAGGAAAATGAATATTAGATCCACTTCTATGTTGTTGTTGTTGGTTAATAAGAGGCTGTCACTTTGAGTGTGAAAGGTAATAAAAAAACTTATTTCTTGTTCCTAATATTTAGAAATGTTAAAGGTGCTGCATATAGCGTATTGTACACTCTCAAGTACCATATTGCTAAAGCGACTGGTATCACTTTTTTAAAGGGAACCACTGTCCAGATTTCTGCTGGGGTTCAAGTGTTTCTGATCAACTCTTACCACCTCTCAGAGTTGTATCTGTTTTATTTTTCTAAAAAGGTGTGCGTGTCTTTATCTTGTTTAATTTCCATTTCTAATGACAATAATAAAGATTGGCAGAAAACGTCATTGTGTTCTCAATATTTTTTCTATTGCAAACACACCAGGTCAGATGAATAGAGGTGGATTAGCAATAAATGAAGCAATTTTGTTTACATAAAAATTAGATACAGGTTGAAGGAAAGTCACTTTCAAGCTTTTTAGAGAGAGTTTAGCTGTCTTGATCACTGAGCCAAAATAACAATCAATATCTTCTACTAAATGACAGGAGATTAAACAGACCAAGTAACAAATAACAGGTGGACAAATGAAAACTATTAAACTGTGACCACAAAAGTATCAGGTGTAATAAAGTAAAAGCCAATGGGTGTATTCAGGAGTGATGATTGAAATGTAGGTGAACTATGTAGACACAGAAAATGAGAAGGTAGAAATAATGGTGAATGAGGATATGTAGGAATTATTACACAGCACTGAAACCACTACTGAAATGTCACAAGACAAGAACTCTAGCTCTCACTGACTAAAGAAAAAAATGACAAGATTTATCAAAACCTAAGGCAGAATAAAGTTAAACCAGGGGAAAATCTGGCAGTAGTCAACAAGTCTCTTAATGATACAAACTCAAATCCTTTTCTACTCCTTTTGGGCTTTTGTGTATTTAAGTCAGTACATTTTGCCCTGTCTATCAGACATTCTCATCTGAGAATTTTTATGTCAATATTCTACTAAAAAGGTATTTTTCCTGCCCAAGTGGCACACTTCAGTTGAATGTCATTTAACTGAATTATATTTTATTCTTTAAAGAAAAAAAGTAGGTAATGTAGATAATATATGATAAACAGAGAGGTGACCTACAGTCAAGTACTACTCATTTTACTCGGTTCCCAATTTTGGCCAATTTTTTGTTTTAAACCTCTGATCTGGTAGTTAAATTTAGCAAACATTTATCAAAAAAGTCTGAAAATGCCTTTCATATGAGATATGAAAGGCTTATTTACTCTTATTTTACTTCAAGAGTTTATGATTTTTATAAAGAGATTTGCTCCATCTTTAATCAACTTTCCACAATATGCACTGTTTTAAAATGTCCACTAGATGTCAGTATATTCACGGTCATTTTCATTTTGTCTTTATACTCTTTTTCTATTCTGCATACATTTCTAAAAGGAAACACTTTAAATTTGTCACATAATTAATTAAAAAAGCATGTCGCTGAAGCAAATTTTGTAATAGTTTGATCAATTTTTTTTTTTCAATCAAAGCTTTCTTGTCATTGTACTAGACCGTGAGTGCATCCTATTGGCAAAGCAAATATGTTTTACTTTTGAAAATTAGAAATGCGTATGTTACATGATATTCAATTTCCTTCACACGTATGTTCTTCCCTTTGAAGGTTTGAAGGTTTTTTTATTTCCATCAACAATTTTCTCAATAACTTAATGTTTAGATCAGTGTACTTTATATTGATTATATTTAGATGGATTTAAATGTAATTTGCTTATAATTTAGTTGGTGTCTTTTATTGGCAGTAGGTCTTAAAGATTATTATTCTTAAAGAGAGAGAAAGACAGCGATAGAAAGAAAAAAGAAAGGGAGAGGAGAGGAGATAAAATATCTGTGTTAGAATACATTTGGAGAAGAGTAAAAACAAAACACACACTATTTCTTTGCAAAAAATAAAATCTGAAAATGAAATATCTTAGATATCAATAGCATAAATTTGTCCATTTTTATTGTTTTTTTATATTGCGTCCACAAATACAATTTTCTACAGATATTGTAGAAAATATCTACAATATATTATAGAATACAATAGAATAGAGCAGATAAAACATTTCCTTGCAATCGGGAGGATTGCAAGGAAAACTACGACTTATCTACATATAAAGCCCTAATTTTATTTCACATGTTTTACGTTGAATGTAGGCCCCATATATTAAAAGTACCTCTGTAGATCGTTATAACTACTTTTTTTGTCGGTTAGTAATCTTACAACCAACTCTCAACTTGTTTACGCAAGTATAATCGGAAATAAATGGTTTTAGAGTCGACAAGTGACATGCTGAGTGGCCGAAAACCGATTTATCTCTCCGTAAAGAAGATCCTGCCTCACTACTTTGGTGTTAAACGGGTTGCCATAGCCCTCTCGGCACGTCTCCGCGAAGCACGCCTCCGTAGCACGAATCTGTCATTTGGAGCTTTTTGTTCCCCAGTCACGACCTAAATGATGACAAAATCCTGCACCACGGGAAGCTGACGCCACCGCTGTACAGTCACCTCCTCGGTGACGTGGGCTGACGGAGGCAGCAGCAGCAGCAGTCAGGATTGATGCCATCTGCTGGACGGTCGCAGCCACTCTCGCGGCATTACGTCATCCGGGAAAAACCGGTGCCAGGTCCAGATCGGTGAAGCCCGGGAGTCTGGTTCTGAATGTAAAGCAGCGTGGAAAGAGGCGGATACATTTAAGACAGGACAGGAGGAATTTGAAACTAAATCGTGTGAGTTGAAGTTCTAATTTAACACGCGTGTTGGACTACAAAACCTTTAGATAGAACTATAGAAAAATACATGTAGCCCACCATGGAACAGAATAGAATAGAATAGAATAGAATAGAATAGAATAGAATAGAATAGAATAGAATAGAATAGAATAGAATAGAATAGAATAGAATAGAATAGAATAAAGCAGATAAGACAATAGCCTTTTTTGATCCAAGCCATTTGATGATGCAAAATAAAGGATGTCTTAAAAAGTTTTGGGTTTGTGAAATATTCTTTTTTTTTCTCACATATTATACTGGGATTTTATCTTATAGCTCAACTAATATTTAATTGTGAAAAGGTAAATCAGTGTTAGTACGTAAAAAGATTTATTTGTATTCCTCCTCATTACTCAAATACAGAGCTAACAGAGTATTAAGATTTATTTTTATTTGTTTAAGTGAGAATAGCAAGACTTCATAACAATGTTACTGGTGTAAAGTAAACAAAGTACAGTGAAATAAAACTAATCTTAAAACTAAGTTTTTGCCAAAAAGTTACATAAGTCATTATTACTGAATAAATACACAAACCAATCGTCGACGTTGGCCTCATATTCTCCATTAGGCTTAAATGTAGACTTTGACTGGGCCGTTCTGACACATTAACATGCTTTGATAGGAACCTGTCAATTGTAGCTTTAGCTGTATGTTCATGATCTTCAACATACAGCTATGTTTAAGCTGTATGTTAAACATACAGTTCCAGGCCTTTTTGATTCACCATCGGATGATTGTCTTGCATTACACTTTTTAACTCAATCCAGCTTGAAAAAAAAAAAGCACAATGTTGCCACCATCATGTCAGCATCGCACAGCCATATTGGTCAGAAAAACGTTTCACAAATAAAACCATAAAAATTTTGAATTTCCCAGGTTTATATTTGCATTTAGTTCTCTTTCACTTAAATAGCCCAAAAATAATATTCAGTGCAGTGCCACCAGAAGCTTCCTAATTAAAAACTATAGGACCCTTCTGTGCGATTTAATTCTAGTGTAAAGACAGCAGATCATTAATAGTCTCACAGATTTAATTAAAAAAAAAACATAATTAAGAAAACAGAACATTTATTTTTGCTCTCTAACTGAACACACAGGGTCATATCTTTTAAAAAAAATAACATATTTATGACTGGCACCGTTCAAATTCAACAGCAAAAAGCTTACACAAAAGCACGACATTTTAGATAATTAACTAAAACTTTGCAGAGAAGTGAACGTCAGTTGAGCTGCTGTCCATGGTGCTGAAACTCTTCTGCACTCCATATTTTGAACGGGCTGTATTCTTTCTAAATTGAGCCAATAAAGCGGTTCAAAGTATCGCGAGAGGAGGAAAGAAATGTTAGATTTATACATGATCTGCGTATTCATGTGGAGTGGGACTGCTTTTTAAATGAAAATGCCGGGATGTGGCGTGGACAAGCTTTTCAGATCATGACGACAACGAGCCAGTTCTCACATGATTAGATGGTCCTCCGAAAAAAAAAAAAAACACCTGAGAGGGAGGAAGGAGGGCTCCATTCCAAGGGAGGCAGCGGAGAGGCACCGAGGACTCCGCCTTTACCGCCCTAACGTCCAAGCACCAGTCCGGGGTGGGGAAGAGGGAAGAGACACGCCGCAGGCCTGACGAAGAGATTCGAAACGCGAGCGTGAGGAGAGACTAAACAAAAAAGAAGAAGAAGAAAGAAAGAAATACGGAGATGGGCTCGCCGTGAAGGAATAAAGACAGGGAGGTTGGGGAAACACCCAGAGGGGGCGCAACACAAAAGCACAACTCGAGGTGCCTGCAACCATGAGCGGCTGCTCGCCTAAGCCGCGGCTGCCGCTGCTGCTTCGCCCGGGGAACACGTCGTGAGGGGCGCCTCGGGAACCTGTTAGCCGAAACGACACGCCGACGAGAACCAGGAGGAGGTGGTGGAGGTGGGGTGGTGGTGGTCGAAAAGATGTCCGCCTCGGTGGGGCCCCACGGCGGCCCTCGCCCACCCACCGTGCCGCCGTCCATGCCGGATCTGCCGGACCTTAGCCACCTCACCGAGGAGGAGCGCAAGATCATCATGGACGTGATGGCTCGGCAGAAGAAAGAGGAAGAGAAAGAACAAGAAATGCTGAAGTAAGGCCAAACTGCTTCTCAAGTCATAAGGCATAGCGTAAGAAATAGAGGTTAGAGGTAATCTCATACAACCACCGTCCATCATTTTTGCGCCTCTACAGCCTTAATGAAGACGTGAGACGCGAAACTATCATAAGATTTTCTTCCCTAAATCAAATCAATAAGCGGTCACGGTGGGTGACGATGGCCTGAAACAGGGTCAGTATCCGTTACAGGTGCTGGTCCGAGGATGGGGTGTGACAGAGGGGGGAGGAGATGGAAGGATGAATCATAGCCTTGTACATCTGTCACCCATTCATTTTCATCAATGGAGGACTGCACCCCAACCCTCGGCTTACACATCTACCTTCAACTCCGCGGTGATTTCCCATTTTACGCACGGCCAAATGGCGTGCGCCGTATCGGTGTGGGCTGCTGGGAGCATCACACACGCACACATTCACACACCGCGTGAGTGTGTCCGTGCGCGCGCGCGCGCGTGTGCGGGGAAAAGTGATGCTGCCAACCTACTAGCGACAAAAAAAAAAAAAAAAAAAAAAAAAAAAAAAAGCTACTTTACGATGAGTACCACGGTGCGCTGTAAGAACATTTGTGCGTTCCTCTTCCCAGAGATGAAGATGGGGTGTGGTTGGCAAATCCAGCAGGCCTGAACCGGACCGACTGGAACATAGTGTAAAATGATTGTAGTATGTTTGCAAACGCTACGTGGAGTGATCAGATTGTAGTCTGTCGAAGGAGCCTCTCTGGAAACCCCCCCCAAAACAAAACAAAAACCCCCCTGTACAGTCGAACCCCATTGATAGGACTGGATGTGCTATCAGTGGAGAATGTGTTTGCATCAACCCAGGCAGTCCTAAGCAGCAGAGCTTGCACTCCAAACCCAGCTCATACACCTCCAACCCACCCCAAGAGAGAGGGTCTATTGCCAGAACTGTTTTTCAGGCATGCGGCATCCTCGGGTTTTTGCTCCGGTTCTAATGGCTGGCTTCATTTCCTGACTGCAGCCTAAAGGGGTGCTCTGTGAGGGCCCCTTGAGAAGAAGGGATGTATTTAATGTTCCATGATCTCAGGCGCAGGTTCATAATGGCTTCATCATCTGGCTAATCATTAATGGAGCCAGGGCACCATGAACAGGGGACAGATGGGATTTTTACAGAAATTTGCCAATAATTGCGAGGCAGTCTCCGGTGTTTATTACAGTGCACAGTTTATTCAGATGCTGATGTTAAATGAATCTCATTGCTCCTCCTCTTGATTGACTGTAACAGTTCAGGGCCTCATAAAGTATTGTGCAATTTTTTCAGGTTTCTCTCAATCACCATAGGTTTGTATGGATTTTAATAGTGTTTTACTCCATAAAGCAACGCAAAGATAATTTTTCAGTATTTTTCTTTTCAAATCAAAATCTGGAGTTTTGGATATGTGTTGCCCATCTCTAAGGCATTGCCAAGCACCGCGGTGGGGAAGAGGGAAGAGACACGCCGCAGGCCTGACGAAGAGATTCGAAACGCGAGCGTTTTGCTGCAGCTGCAAGTTTTTGATTGCATGCCTGTACCTGCTTTGCCCATGAAGAGGCAGAAAATTGTTGTTGCCCACAATAGCTCAAGCTCTGTCAGAGTGGATAGCGGGGGTCTAGAACATCAATTTTCGGTCCTATTGTCACTCTGTATGTGCTTAGGGGAGTTGTCCTGCTGGAAGGTGGACTTCCAATCCATTGCCACCTCTAACAGGTTTTCTTTTACGTCAGCTTTTTATTTAACTCGTGTACATGCATCTTCCCATCAGCTTTGGCCACCTTTCCTGTTTCTATTTAATAAAATTATCACAACACCATGTTGAAATGGCATGTTCAGAAAGATATTCAGCATTAGTTTTCAGTCACATGTATAATTTTGAATGTAGGTCAATAATAGGTTCAATTTTAATGACTCAAGTGGACGGTGTCTACTAATTACTTCACTTCTGAATTCAAGTTGTTGCACTGGATTTTATTTAGTGGCATTAGATTAAGGAGGGAGGCACATACACAATTACAAAAGCACACCCCGAATTTTAATTAAAAAATATTTAAAACCATCATATTATTTCCAGTACAGTACAATCATGAACTGTACTGATCTATGATAGAAAACATGTATAACATACAATATTTGTGATTTTAGAACGGCAAAGTACAAGAAAACTTCAAAAATTATGAGTACTTTTCCAAAGTATATCTGACTCTGCATTACTTATTTATTCATAGGAGTTTGTCAGTTCAGGATCGGCCAAGTGTGAGTACAGCCCTTTGACAAACTGCTTGTTTCTTTACAAATTTTCTGCCACACTGAAATGGTTCAGATCGTCAAATAAAATCTGAAAAGATAACCCAAGTAGAATAAAAGAGCAGCTTACAAGTTATGATTTTACTGACCGATGGGGAGGGAAACAACTTATTCAGTTTATCCAGGCAACAGTTTATTACTATGTGACAACATTGTGATTGGTAGCTCATGTGCATTAAAGTATACTTAATAATGAAAACAAATACAAAACAACAAAATATGATAGGAACTCCTATATAAAAGTTAAAGCCTATAAAAACATCTGTGCAGTCATTAAACATTATTAAGCAAAGAGTGTTTTATTTGTGTGATAATTTCTTTGAGATTAAAAGATGTCTTAGAGCTCCAGTGTATGTGCATTAAGGAATATCCAGTGTCGTCTACTCAGACACAGTTTCACCTGCCAGCCCTGTCCAGAGCCGTCTGAGCCTGCAGCACCTGGCACTGATAAGGTTAAACTGATACTGACTTCTATCTGTCCCAGCTTCAAGCAAACAGCCTGAGCTGGAACACCTGCTACAACTATTGAGAAAGCAATGCCTGAGCGTTCTCTAATCATTCTAGATCTGAAATAAATAAATAAATAAATAAATAAATAAATAAATAAATAAATAAATAAATAAATAAAATATTTCTCATCAAGTCACTGAAAATTGTTTTTATTATATTTTTAAGGGACCTTTATTTATAAAGATGTCTCATTGAGATCCAAAATCTCATTTACAAGAGAAACCTGTTTTGATCAAACAGCAGAATTGTATTTACATGTTTTACAATTACATGATATGCAATTCATGTTAGCAAAATCTAATCATAATGAAATATTTTTATGCTCAGGAGACTGAATGCTTCACGATGTTTTGGTTGAGCCTGCAACCAGGAGCTGAATGATGCTCATGCTTTTTTTGTACTTAGCCTTTTAGCCTTTTAAGCTTCAGTGCAAAGATTTTCCTCGAAGCAAATAGTTTTGACCAACTTTCAGTTGCATGATATACCAGAATTTAAAAGTTATATTTTGAAACCAAGTAAATTTCAATTATATGCTAGAAAAAATATTCTTAGAATATGTGTAGCGTACAGTACACCTGCACCATTGCTGAGAGCTGTCAGTCTCTCAGCAGTGGTCAGAGATACTATTGCTGCAATGTACGTATAGCAACATGCAATACATACCGTATAGCAACGTATGTTAGGCTATATATCGCGAGCCTAACATATTTGCACGTTAGGCTAACAGAAAAAAAACTAATACAATTCTCCAAAACATTTCAAGCAAGGGTTGTTTGTGTTAGTATTTGATTTTATGTAGGAGAAAAAAAATAGGTTCAAATTTCCTATATTTTCACTTATACACTTGCTGACCTGTCCTAAACTTAGCTGAATTATTAATTTTTTTTCAACCTTTTTGATCAATTCAATACTTCTTTCAACCACATTTCGACATAGCTGGAAGTCTTCATGCAGACGTCTTTTCGTCTTTCACTTTTCAGCATTTCATTTTGTTTAGATGGCAGCAAACATTTCTCTGCTGTCTTTTATGCAAAATGAGGCTCTTAAGGTATGACTCATTATAAGAGTACCACCCATTTTTCTCTTTATGGTAATCCTGCTTTAAAAATATTTTACACAAGCATAGTTTGAACTCTTGGTTCATTTTTGGTAGTGTTGCTTTTTGATGATGTTAGTGTCCAATAATGCATTGAACTCTCTTTTTAAAAAAACAAAAAAACAAGGCCATCTTTAAGACGACATACTGGCTTTCAGGAGTTTTAGTTGATTCTTATTTAAGGATGGAGTAAAGAATTAAGCCTTAAACTTTAAAATAACTTGACAATAAAGCAATTCAAAGTTGGTGCCGTGAGTGCAGCTGATAGTTGACAATATTTATATTCAAAACATTTAGAGAGCGTTCGTTAGTCAACGTACTTTCTGATATAAACATAATTTCTTCTGTTGCCTGAAGCAGTCCTGTTTATATTCTATTAACTTATTAGCATTGTCCTGATCTGTTTTTGTTTTTATGTACATGGTTTGGCCATTAGTTTAATATCACCACACATTCAATCTTAGCTCTAAAAGTGGTTTGGTGGAGGAACATAAATCAGGAGACAGTTTAATGTTTTCTGATCCTGCTTAAGTGTTCAAGAGGTCATAGGTGAAATAAGGAGGCTCATACAGCAAATGAAAACTAGTGCTCTTTTTGTAGTTCTCAGTGTTCATAAATGTAAAAATTATTGGAAAAAATGCTAGTTTAATTCACTGAAAGGAGCACGCTGTTTAGACGATTCAGACTCCTCGACAGCAGATGGTGAGAAAAAGACATCAAAACATGCGACGCAGATGGAGGGAGACGGAGGGAGGATTTAGAGGTTTTTAGCATTAGAGTGGTTGTATGTCAGGGAGAAAAAAAATGGAAGACTATAAGAATGAAAGAAAGCTCATGGAAGAAATCCTATTCCAACAGAGATGGCTATCTCTGTTTGCTTCCTGATGCCTCTGCCTTAAGGGGTGCATGGAGAGGTCAGTAAAGGTCTCGTTCATGTGAGCTGTCTAACATAGATACTGTTTTACAAAAGGTTACATATCTACCTGTGAGTTCTGTTTTTCCTTGAAGTTAGCATTATCACTATTTAGACTTCTAGTTCAGAAAACTTGTAGTGAGAATGTTGAACCTGT